AGTCTGTTTCCTTCGATGAGAATTCAGTCCAAACATTTTATGAGAGGGTTCAATACATTTGTACAAGGAGAAATAAACATAGAAAGATGCATTTTAGCTAATGCTCCTCCCGTCTTTAATAATTTGGAGCTGTATATCTATTTATGATATCAGATACATCGACATAATTAAAGGTATAAATTCATAAAAATACAAGCTAAACCATGTTACGGAAAGAGATGATTTTCAACATCTGTTTCTATACCTATTATTACATGGTGTACTTCAGAGGGGGAAATTTTTCAACAAGACAATGCCCTTTGCCACACATCCAGATCTTGAAAAATTATTTTACTTAAGGGCTTTAAATGCTATTTCGACCTGATATAAAACCCACTAAAGGAATATGAAACATTTTCAGACATAAAATTCGTGAAAAAAAATAAAATTTTAATAAAGATTTGGATAAGCTAATTCAAAGAGCTCAGAGAGCATGAGATTACGACAAAGATTTTCAGTAATCACTGCAAATTCTTTATAGAAAGAATGCCTAAAAGAATCCAGGAATTATTAAAAGCCAAGAGGACATCATATTAAATGCCGAAATGTATTAATATTGCTAAAAAATTTACTCATTATAAGTCTTCTGCTTAAAAATATCATTTAGTTTGTTATGCAGTTAAGTATAAAAAACAAATCACTCTTAATCATAAGCAATACATGCTTTAACAAACAGTTTTTCAGCAGTCCATAATAATTTGCACAAGATTATAGAATAAAAATAAGAAAGATAAACCCTCAAAGTGTACTCATAATATATACCAGAAAGATTTTTGATTTCGAAGCTTTCCTCCAAAAGTACCATTCAGCTGAGTTTTATTGAGCAGCTCTTTGCTAAATATACACTAGTGACTGATTCCGGGTAGTTAGGGACAGAATTTCGCACTTTTAATGATATTCTGGTACTCAAATGATGCAACATAAGTAATTTATGTCAATAATCTTCAAATTTTGCTGCAACCAATCATTTTTGCAAATATTTTTCGACTAAATATTGTTTAGAAGATAATTACCGTTTTCTAAGGAATAAAATTTGAAATGAGTTTCTGTAACTAATCGTATAACGATCAAATATTTTGTAATGATTCATAAATTATATGAAGGACAAAATCAATAATCTTCTACCGTGGTAGTATACATTAATTATATTTTATAAAATTTCAATGTTATAAAATAATGGCTTTTGACTATCTATCATCGATATATTTAATATACTCGCTTTTTTACCTGAGTTTGCATCAGCATCAACGTCTTACAGGTACTTTTTATCGATCATCAAAATTCATTTTATTACTTGACGAATTATTAAGAACAGATTTTATCCTTGTACCTGAAATACCTTTATTTATCAGTTTACTTACTAGCTTTGATTTTGGATTTTTAATGCAAAGAGAGCAAGCTCTTAAAATTGGACTTTGCTGAGTTTTTAAATAAAGATTTGGCGGCATGTCAACATAAATACTTATTTATTTATTTAAATAAGAAATTTTAAGCTTTGCATACTAATACACTGTAGTATATAGAATAATCGAATATAGAAAAGACTTATATTAGAAAGGCAGAAACCATCTTATATTTAATAAAATAATTATTATGAGAGAAATCTACCTCGAAAAGGGGATATTATATTGTATATTAATTATTTTAACTACACTTATAATGTTCGCCATATGAAGGCCTTAATTATTTGTTTACGCAATCAAATTTTTGATGAAATTAGCGCAAAAATTTTGAAATTAAAACGTAGTTATTTTAATAACACATACACTCAGAAACATTTTCTTGCGTAGTAGAAATGTAAACATATGAAAACTGACATATTTCAATTTTGTTTCTATTTTATTTTTGGTATTAGCGGATTTAGTGATGTTGTTTTTCCTTTGTATCATTGCTCATTTTTATCATTGCATCTGACTTTTGAACTTCTTCAGTCTGTGTCCCTCCCATAGCCCCGTTCACACTGACAAAATAATTGGACAACTTAAATTTTGTTACACTTAGTAATTTTATATGCTTCCTCCACTGGATAAGAATTTCAGCGAAAGGGCTCGCTGCAAGGGCGTTTTCTCGGTTTTCCCTATATGCAACATGTATACAAGGACAGTTCCCTTTAGAAAGTCCTCCACGAAAGCATTCCTCCCCTCAAGCAGATAGCTCCCAAGTGCTTTGTCATAACTAAATAAACGAAACCAAATCATCCAGTATATAAACTTCTTAATACCGCTAACGAGTTTTATTTTCATTCCTGTAGTGAATTTTGGATACCTATGTGGATATTTTGAGACTTCTCCCGTCGTAGCGTAAATATGAAATAATTTCCACGGAAACTTCTATGCTGAGAACCGTCGTATAACTAATTATTTACTTATTTATTTTTAGTTTAATGGTAGTTTATATATACGCTTACTCTAATATTTTTGAAAATTTACTTTAAATTATTTAAAGAAGGGAAAACTTCTTTGACAAAATTAGATGAATGAAAGCTTGCATGCATTTAAATTTTCAGTCGGTTGAAATAGAAATTTCTAAAACAACATAAAAAAAAAAAAAAAAAAAAAAAAAAAAAAAAAAACTTGCATTTAAGGAATTTTAAATTATGATTTCTTCTATGAAATATTTCAAATACGTCGTTTTATTTCTGAGCGATTTTTCCTTTTAGAAATTTTCATAAGTTAACCGTAAACAAATCAATGTTAAAAATTTTTAAATTTGAGTTTAATGAACATCAATAGCTCTTCAGTAATTTTATACATAGTACTATGCAATCCGTTCAAAGCTTTAGAAGAAAAACTAGTACAAAACTAGTACAAACAAACTAGTCTTAATTTTGTTAGAAAATTAAAATTGAAGAGGTATTACAATATTTAGGTTTCTCTGATTTAATTTGGGAATGCACCTACCTATGTTAAATTTAATGCTCGTGCATTTAGTTTTGTTTTGAGCCTATACACACATTCCACAGATCTTTTAGTCTCATGTCTGATTATTGAAATTACTTCCTTAAGCATTTTTTATTAAACTGTCGAATTTTTATTTAAAATAATCCAATATTGTTTTTTCTTTGATGACGTTAAAATTGCTATAGCATAAAAAAAATATAAAATCTATTTTTTTAAAAATCCTAATGATAAGTAATAATTTAAATGAAATGTTGATGATTAATTTTCACTATTATAAATACACTATATAACAGAATAACATAAAATTTGTGGCAATATTTAAGAAATGTACAGAACAAAGGAATTGAATTCCTAAAAGGAGAAGTTGCATGTAATTTAAAGAAAATTTAAAATGAAATTTATGTGTAAAGCCTGATAGTGTTCTTTAGCCTACCTCCCCAAATAAAATGCTGAAGAGAACATTTAATAGTTAATCTCGAATATACGAATTTATTATCATCATTAGAGTGAATTTTTGTTCAATAAAATAAAGGAAATCTATTAAAATTACTAACCATAAACCCCATACCATATTACAACTGAGTTTTAAATTTTCTTTTTAAATTTCTTTGTTATTTCTTCCTTTTTCAGGTGTTGTTTTATTCGATATTTAAGAAAACAGCTGCATGCTAATTAAACCATTAAATCACAACTTAATCAGTTTCTTGAATTCATCTTTCACAATTCACAAAATAATTGTAGATTTTTGAAACTATTACTTGACTCAAACTTATAAGTTTTGATTATAGCTTAACTTTGTTTGATTATTTACTTGATTACATTTCAGGTAAAATAAAATTCGTATGCAAATTGCAGTTTTATAGAAATGATAATGAATCAAAGATTTATGAATAGCATTTTAGGCAAAAAAGAATGTTAAATATCTAAATGTTTCTTTAAACAGTTTCTCAACTCTTATTAATGCCTTAAGGCATATACATGTATAAATTGTATTTTAGTATTTATTCTGAATTATATTCTTTTTCTATGTGTCTTAAGAAATTGAGAAAAGAAATTCTTCTGCGTGCAGTTATCTAAACCACATATTTATATGTTTATTATTATATTTATACATTTTATTTACATATTTATATATTTATTAGACATTTTGTATGTTCTCCTTGCTAGTCATTAACTTCTCAGATCACAATAAGTAGTTTTATGATTTTGCTAGGCAAGACTTTGTTTTATGATTTTGCTAGGGTTGCTTATGCAGTTAAATTGAAAAATACGTCTAAGGGCAAGGTTTGCTTTCGGGGAGGATTTTCGAAAGAAAACTAGCTGGTATTCAAGTAACACATTAAAATAATGAGTAAATCATGCAAGTCTTACTTCAGCTATTGCTTAAAAATTAAAGATAATAGGGGGGAAGATCTTCACCATATAGAACCTTGTATATCATTGTTTGCCAATCTTGTATAGCACTGCTTATCAGTCTGAGCTATGTCATAGAAGCTGAAAAGAATGTATTAAAGTAATTTTAGAAAAGCGCCAACTTTAATATCATCTTCAGCTACGAAATTTTAAAAGATGATTCTATTATTAGATTATATGTTCCATGCTTTTATTAAATGAAACCTTTTCGCTCAAGTTCTGTTTGCATTTTATCCTCATTTGCTATTCCCTAAACTACGAAATTCAACACGTGGATTAAGTATGTCAGAAGTTAGTATAATAATACTGCATTGGCTAGTATATAAAGACAGAATTCATGGTATTTTGAATGAAATAAAAAAAAACTGGCATATAAGTCGAATTCCGGTATTAAATACCGGATCTTGAAGTAAACTAAATAATACGAGAAATATATTTCCTTATGACATTAAATTTAATGCACGAATAACAGATTGCTGTAATACATTTTTAAATTTAAAATAACATAAGTAGAACGTCCAGAAGAGTATTTTAAAGACTAAAATTGTTTTCTCTTATTAGGATCACCGCAGTATGAAACATAATAGATACAGAGGTACTTTTTGTGTTCCATTCAAAGTGCAAGATAGGATGAAAAGTACAACTTACCGGTGGCGTCCCCTGCACGAGGGTAGAACATGCCAGTCCTGGCTAGCCATTCAAAATGTCCAGATTTGAGTCCGGCAGCGGCAGCCGCCTGTTCGGCCAGAGGCTGGTGGAAGGCGCTAGTCATAACAGGGAAGGCGGCCGCGGCAGCCGGTGGATGTATCTGTGCATGGTGAGGATGATGGTACTGGTACAATGGGTGCGGCGAAAAAACGGGTAATGCTGCCAGTGGTAGCCCGGCAAGGCCAACGGGTGCGGGCCGTGGTGAGGCCACCGGGCACCTGTCGCAAGAGTCCCCCGCCGGCGAACTCCGCGCCAGGAGGGCCTCGATGCAGAAGGACTTATTCGACTCAGCGGTCTTGGCGCCGGCCATGGGCGGCATCAATCCGCGATCAGGTCCGGCGCGACGAAAGGGCAGAGGAGAGAGCCACACATCGCGATTGCAGTTTAATCTCTTTTTCCGCGGCGGCTCGGGTGTAGGAAAGGGGATTGCGGTGATTGAGCCCGCCCCTTTCTCCCGTGGCCCCGCCCCGCCCAACGGCCGTATCTCTGCGTCTGTTAATGTGTCAGGAAACAGCGGCCCGAATGGCATCGAAGCGCCCGCCGCTCGATCCATTATGTGTTGACAGAGCCCGAAATTGCCATCATTCGATATCTTCGCCGCCATTCTCTTATTCCGCTTTCTTCTCTTCGTTCTCTCTCTCCCTCTCTTGCCTTTTATGTGGCTAGAAAAAGAAAAGCCTTGGAACAGCTCCGATTAACTCTCGCCGATGTTCTCATTAGGGCCCTTTAACTCAATACTTAGCGGTTCATTACGGGACATTTCGCTCTCGCCTTCAGGCTTCTCAAAAAATTATGATCTGGCTGCTATTTTAGTTTTATCTGATTCGATTTCGAGATGGAGGTTTCTCGCAATCGCCAGAAAAACTTTTCACAATGCCGCTGTTAAAGTTATCCTTTTCACATTATCAGCAAGCCAAGAAAATAAAAGGATAAGGATCGAAATCGTTCCTAATCAATGGACTGTGTTTTTCTATACCTCCAAGCTTATTAGTTTTTATTTCATTTTTTTATCTATTTACATCGAAGAAAGGTACGCTTTTATTTGCATATTCCTTCTTGGATTTCAAGGTTGTCAGTTGTTTATTTTCATAGAAAATATTGGGATATAAGATCATTCATGTCGATTACAAAGGTATGCACGTTGCATGTGAGATTGTTTAGAATATGATATTTGTCAGAAAATAAATTTCATTCACAGATTTATTTAATCTCTCAAGAAAAATCTGATGTAATAAAAATGTATATTCCACCTTCTTTCCCCGAAACGAAAGGTATTTTCCCCTCTTGCCATTCTTCAAAAAAAAAAAAAAAAAAAAAAAAAAAATGCTCAGTTTTGAATAACATTATTTCCTGGTTAATATGAAGAATGCAAAATTTGATTTATCTTGTTAGTATTGTTATAGTTGTAGCATTTAATTTTTATCTGTGTCTTTTCTCCTGTTTCCAAAATTATATGAAATCTATAGCGCGTCTACAAATTATCTTAACTGAACATCAATAAAGTCTGAAAATTTTCTTTTCAACTGAGCATTATTCTCATCGTTCAGTATTTGTTAGTCTTTATATTATATTTCAACTCATTATTAATCAATTAAAACATTATATGCTTGAAGCATAGGAGATTTTCTCATACAGAATGTAGATAATTTTTTTAAAAAAATTGAATTATAATTAAAGATTAGGTAAATATGTATGCAGTTAACTAAAACTCTATTGTATAAAAATGTAAGGTGAATATGCATGTACTATCGAAGTTGCATACATCTTTTAGGATAATAAGCTCAGGAAGGAAAAGATTTAAGTAAAACAGAAAATTTAGCATGCTGAAAACAGCATAGTATAATGCGAAAATGTGCACAACATGAAGCAGTATGTAGTTTAATCCTGTTACATTTATTTCAAGTTTTGAAAAGCTTACTTACTTTTTTCAATAATAAAAATACTCTTCATCACTACTGTTGTTATATGTTATTGTACAATTTATATGCATTTACAATGCATTCAAAAAAAATTTTCATAATTTATAACGTTATCTTAACCACAGATTTACATTCTGTATCTTTCGCCTTTCCGGCAAATGATTTAAATATTGATTTCTGGTGTTTCAGTTTTCTGTGTTCATGAAAAATATCAGAATGTTGATTTTTTGTGCACTGATAATTTGCGACAGGTCAAAGAAACTTTTGAATGTTTCAGATTTTCTTTCTTGCCTTGCACTTGATGACATAACGCTATCCATTACAATAAGTACAAGAGTGTACTGCCTTGCCAAAAAGAAAGAAAAAAAAAAAAAAAAAAATGAGCTTATGCCTCTCCCTGCTCCCCCCCCCCCAAAAAAAAACAAAGGATTCGAGATATTCAAGAGCCCATCGAATGCTTATAATCAAGAAAACTCATGCTGTTTTATTTAGAAGCAGAAATTCAAAAATAAAATTGAGATGCGTTTTAAAAATTTCGAAATAAACTGCGTGTAAAAGAAGAAAATCCAAAAGAGGAAGGATAACTCTGTCCATTTTAAAAGGCTGAAAATCTCTTTCAGCTGTAAAAGGCATTCAGCATTTTTTGTACTTGAATACTCTACCTCCTCTGTTTCGCATATATGAAAATCCAATTTCCCATGCAATTCTCAACGTTCTCGTCCATTATGAAAATCTCATTAAAAAAATTATTCAATAAAAATCATGATTTTGTTTTATTAAAAACTGTGATAGGAGTATCACTTAGATTTTCATTAGATATAATGCCCAATCCTCGAAAGCTCTTTAATCAAATGAAATTTTCTTGTTTACTGTATTAGATATCATCAGTGTCATTAATATTATTTCAATGCGTTAATCTAAACACGGAGCTTAAGCGGAAAGTATCACACATATTTTATAATCGCGTTAACTCCGATCACACTTCCACGTTTAGCTTTGACTGAAACGACTGGAAATGTCAAAATGAGCGGAAAGGCGAAATGACAACTCTTATTTACCCTCAAGAGAGTCTTACATGGAATGATTTTCAAAAAAGCTTCATCTGGAAAAGCCAGAAATGGGACAAAACTGCAATTTTGTTGAGTTTAGACTGCAAAAGAAGTTGGGACAAAGGGAGCTTTTTTATTTTCATTTTAATTCATTCCTGTGGAAATGGAGTATTAGTTCTCAGTAGCTATTACTTTTTGTTACTTTACTAGATATTAAAGCTAGTCACTGAAGGGGAATACTTGCAGGATTGTGATTTTATTTTACTTAAAGATGAGAATGTAAAACGTTAATAATGAAATGGGGGGGGGGGAGAAAGGAAAAAAAAGAAAGGAAAAATGGGGGGGGGGGAGAAAGAAAGAAAGAAAAAGAAAGAAAAAGAAAGAAAGAAAGAAAGAAAAATCTGATTTTAACAGTCACCCAAAAGGGTTTGTTAAGGTCTTCTAAGCTCTCTCTGAGCTCGCAGTATGCTGTTGCACTCACTCCTGCTAACCCATTTATTTTTGTATTTTTAGCTTTATTATTAAGCATCATTTTCTTCGAGTTTACGCCATATACAGTTTAACGGCAAAATTTTAAAAACAACATGTGTTTAGAATTTCTGATGAAGTTTTAAGCGTTGGCATGCATTATTCCCCCCCCCCTCAGTTCATCATATCAGTGTTCAGTATTTTAGTAAGACGGTTTGGAATTTTTTTTATTATTGTTATTAACGTTTCGTATGTTAAATTTATTAATTAAATACCATATTGTTCGCATATACACTACATAAAATTCAATTGAATAGCAAAATTACGAAATATTAAAAAAAAAAGAATATCTTTAGAATTTCCGATATACAGTCTCACGCGCTCGAGTTAACAGTGCTTTAATCCGTAAGGTGTTGCCACATCTCACTTTCAAATCGTTGATGTTAAAAATCATTAAGTTTTATAAAATAGGGAATATAAAATTCGAAATTCAAAATTCGGACTTCTAGGTGCCCATGTTCGAGTGGAGGACTACGTTATTCAAAATTTGATGGCCCAAGATACCGTCGTTTTTTCACAGTGCGAGAAACATGTATGCATTCTTGCAGCTTCTTTATAATTTAATTTCTTTAAAGCCATACAAAGCGATAATATTTCGTGGCAACAATCTGAAAAGTGATTCAAGCATTTAAAGTGATACGCTGCCAAATCTCGTTTCGAGGCTAATAGCCCATTTGGGCTAAAGCCCTTTTGGGCTAATAAAGGAAAAAAAGAAGTTTTGCAAGCTTTTCCTTAAGAAAACTGAATGATACGATGATCCGTGAAAAGACTGAGAAAAGTGCATATATATATATATATCAACATTTAACACTGCATTGGGAATTCCAAACACATGCTGTTATGCGGTTTTTAAAAACTTTTTTGATTTTGCTGTTGAATTGTATATAGCGTAAGTGATTGTATATGGCGTAAGGGATCATGAAACAATGCTTAATAATAAATCTAAAAATTAAAAAAAAAAAAAAAAATGGGGGGGATAGCGGGAGCGAAAGCGTAAAAAAAAAACTTAAAACCTCTTTTGCGCGACCGTTAAAATCCGAAACCTTGCCGGTTCTTCTAATTTTCGAAACCCTTCTTCTAGTTTCTTCAGATAATATGTCAAAAGAAAAAATTCATCCTAGCGAAGAGCAAACGTTTTCTGCTGCAAAGTGAAGGAATATATTACAGAAATACATCTTCTTTTCAAGCAAAAATGTGAGCTTTTTTTTATTTAAAAAATGTATGAATTTCATAGTTATTTTTGTTATTTTTTAAGTCATTTTTCATGTATCGTATTTACCTTTACAGATCTTTCATTTGTATTTTTACCATAAAATTAAAAATTATGCAGAATTTAAAAAAAAAAAAAAAAAAAGGGATTTGAATCCCGAAGGACTATTAGTTTCGTTTTGGCATTTTGCGTCGGACTCATAAATGTCGGTTCACTTTTCAAACTGTTGCCACAAAATGTTAGAGTTCTGCATTATATTTGAAGAAATTAAATAATGAAAAATCTGCATAAATGTATGTATATTTCTCGTATTGTGATTAAACAACGGTACATAGAGTCATCGAATTTTGAATAACGTAATCCTCCAACGAATATGAGCATGTGAAAGACCAAACTTGAAATTTGAAATTTGTTTTATGATCGATTTCCTATTTTTAAAAACTTTGACGAATTTTTGATTAACAAACCTCAAGGATTTCAAAGGCGAGCAATGGCAACGTTGTGCAGAAAAAAACATTTTTATCTCCAGCGCGTGAGAGTCTCTGTATCGGAAATTCTAAAGATATGCTCGTTTTAAAACTATTTTGCGATATTGCTGTTGCACTGGATTTTTTTGGTTAAAGTGCGAGGAACATGATATTTAATAAAGAAAGGTAACACACAAAATGTTAAAAAACGCCCCTTTGGACGTAGTTTAAAATCTGAAACATTTGAGATTTTTTTTTTTTTTTTTTATACGTTTTCTGTGTTACCTTTATTTATTAAATATCACGTATCACGTTCTTCGCA